AGAGATTTCTTATATACTCCCTGCTTATACACACCCACCTCCTAATATCACCATCCCCCATCAGAGTGGTACATTTATTGCAATTGATGAACTTACTTTGATACATCATAATTCAGACAAAGTCCATAGTTTATTTTATATTATGGTTCACTCTCAGTGTACATTCTATATGGGTTTGGACAAATGTGTAATGACAAGTAACCATCACTATGGTATCATACAAAGTAATTTTCACTGCCCTAAAACCATCTATGCTTAGTGTATTTATTTATTCCCCCACCCACTCCTAGCAAACAGTAACTTAACATTTCGTTGAGAGTTTTTAACCTGTTGGTGAATCTGTAAGCTTTCTTGTTTTCTAATGTCTTTTTTTGGTTTTGGCATTAGATTAATGCCAATAACACAGAAAGAATAAGAAAACATAATCTTTGCATTAAGCTAGTTTAGCTATGTGTGAACCATATTAAATTTTGTTCTCTTCTCTTGTCATGTAAGGGTCCAGGCCAATAATCCAAATGCCTATTTCACTCTTAACTAGTTCAACTTAGGAGACTTTAATATACTTTCTAGCTATCATAACTCAGCTAAGACCATCTCAACCCACCACAGAAACGCCAATGAAATTTTATCTCAAAAGAGTGGTATTTGAGATCTCTATTCCTTTCTTCCCAGGAGGCTCCTTGATCAATATGCAAATTTACCAAATCTTGCTCAAGAGTCAGCTCTATGTATCAAGGAGTATTGAGGGGGCAGCCTTTGTGAGTAATTGAGATGCTGTATTGAAATCTTCCCCTAGAGTATGGCTGGGCAAACTACAGCCTGCTGGCAAAATCTGGTCAGTGCTCTCTTTTTGTATGGTCTGTAAACTAAGAATGCTTTTCACATTTTTTAAAGTTTCTAAATGAACAAGAAAAAAGGAGAAGGAATGGGAGGAACAGGAAGAAAAACAGCAACAGAGAGAGAGAGAGAGAGACCTCACATGGCCTACCAGGCCATAAACATTTTCTAGCACTTTACAGTAAAAATTTGCTGACCTCTGCTTTAGAGAATTGGATTAGAATGAACCTTACATTTACCTAACTATGAAGAATCAGTTAAGTGATGTTCCTGGAAAAAAGACCTATTCCAACGTGATTTTTGTGTGTTCATTTTCAGAGCCAGACATTGATGGCGTTGCTTTTTAACTTCAGCCTCACCCACCTTTCCTGCTAAAATCTAACAGTGTATATTTGCATGTAAATCATTTTGGAAGGTTCTTTGCCAAAATATCAAAAGCAAACTTTTTTTGTTTTGTTTTGCATAGACATTCTTCATATGTAGTTTTAAAAAGACTTTTTGCCTATCTGTGTTTTCTATTTTCTTCAATACATATTTATAACTTGTATTATTTTCAAAAAAGGAACTGTGCCTAGTTCCAGGTAATGTGAAAGATAGGAAGATTGACACTTACCATGCATCTAGAGATAAACCTTATGAAAAACAATTTCAGGAACTAGGTAAAATTTTTCTTGGAGAAGAAAAAAACTTAGAACAACCTTTGATAGCAAGTCTGAAACTTCAGAAAGATCATCAAAGGAGAAAAGTGTTTCACTTATTCTATGTGATTAAAAAGAGAATGATTAGGACAAAAGTGAGAACCCACAGGGAGACCAATTTCTGCTTATTATAAGAGAGCTCTTTCTAAAAGTCAGAGCAGGCCAATATTTATGACTGTCATGGGACACATTAAGAAATACATTCAGTAAATATTTGGCATGGAAGTCATAAAAGACATTTGCTCAAATGATATGGAACCATATAGGAAGGAGTCTTTGAGTTTTCCTTCTACAAGCACATGCCACTTTGAGTATTTGAAAACACTGCTGATACAAATAATACATCCTGGACCTATCTATTCATGCCACATCGAGTCTGTACATCAACTCAGTGCCCAGTTATTGCAAATGTTTTTGGTTTTTTTTCTGATTATTAATTTCTAGTTGAAATTAAATCTCTGCAATCAAATTCATAAGTTACGAATCAAAAAATCTGATTGGGGCCGGCCGAGTGGCGCGTTGGTTAAGAGCTGGCTTGGGACACCAGAGGGCCCCGGTTCGGATCCCACATATGAGGGCCAGTGACACTGCCCTCTACAGCTAAGATGCTGAACAACAGCTCCACCTGGAGCTTGGCTGCCATGAGTCACCGGCTAAGGCGTGGGCTGCAGCCCCTGCTGCAGTGTGTTGCCATGGGCTACCGTGTGTAGCCAGCAGCCAGCGTGAGCGGCCAGCAGCCGCAGTGAGCGGCCGTCCAGAAGTCAGCGGACTGATCTGCCTCCCGTGGGAAGAGCGTAATGATGGTGCCAACTTGGGCCAGTGAAGCAACATCCTCCACAACTAGACTGAAGAACAAAAGGACAGCAATTTATCTGTTCCCCTTCCCCCAATTCCCCAGCGCTGTTCCCATCCCCCAATTCCCCAATAAAAATCTTAAAAAAAAAAATATGATTGGATTCTTCCTTTGCATTGATAGGAATCCTAGAATAGAAACCTGGTACCTGAAATGCCTCCATTTCTATCCATACAGCAAGAAAGAAAAAAGGGCAGAAGTAGAGTAAAGGGGATGGAAAGAAAGCAGGGGAACATTAGAGAAGGGCGCTGTGACATGGCCAGGGCTCTTTTCCCAGAACTAAGATGAAATTACCAGGCAACAATGTTTTTTCTCCAGGAAAGTCCATCCTGTCTTGCTTCTTTCCATTGTTTCTGTTTTTTTGTTTTTTTCCTTTCTGATCTTTTTATTTTTTATTTTTGAAATTTTCCTGGTCATGGTGATTTAAAAAGTAATCCAAAGACAGCAGTAATGTGTCCAGATGGCAGGGTTAAAGCAACCTGGGGAAATTAGCTAAGCAAGTCGTGGGATCAAAGACAGCTGCTGTTTTGGTGTAATTAAACACATTTAGGGGAAAACCTACAGACAAGAGCAGGGCTCAAGGGACAGCCATTGGCCTTCTACCTATAAGTCAGAAGTCAGACGGCATATTAATCAGCCTCACAATCTAGGGGCACAAAGAACCACTGAAACAGGTCATAAGATTGGTCTCCTTTCCTTGGCCTGAAAAGCCACTTAAAATTAAATTACAGGATGTTGAAGACACCTACATGTCCCTGGGTATCACTTACCTTCTCTGTGCCTCCTTTTCCTCTAAACTAAGGTTAGAACTGTTGCTCACTTAAGGTCCCTGGGATCCTTGAGGATTTAGGAATATAAGGTAGTGACAAGAATCATTAACTTGTTTTTAATATCTCTGGATATTTAATGGAAATCACAATGCCATACAAATAATTATTACTGAGTTTGGTTTTGTTTGGAATTTATAAATGAATTGAGATGATACTAATTGCTTAAAGTTGACGGAAACTACTAGCTGGTTATTGGTAGTTTTAAAAGACTTTCTGGGATGTGATTAGTGGGCCAGAAATTGGTAACAAACATGGTCATGTCCAGGGTGAAGCTCTCTATTAAGTAAATAAATAAATAAATAAATAAATAAATAAATAAATAAAATGGGTCCTCCCTCATGAAAAGATAGGGAATTCCATAATAGGCAATATGTAATTGTTCCTCAAGTCCTCACGTTCTTTAGTTTTAGGTTACTGATGTCTGTGACCTAAATTTGTCATGGTTGTATTTTATATTGTTTATTCAAAATTAATTTCCCAAAATTAATTAATTGTGAAACTCACCCTCCTGTGAAGAGGTCAATGGATGACATTTTCCTCTCCAGAAGCAGTAAATTCTCAGTTCTGTTTCTTTGGATGCATGGTAGGTACAATTTAAAGGATAAAACAGCATTTGGAAATGTGAACATCAGGCCTTCATTTTGTTAGGGCTTTCCCTCTCTGGGGTACATGATTGATGTCCTTAAGCACACCAAGAAATCTTTTCTTTATGTTTCTTTTTTACAGCTTTTTTAAAAAAATAAAAGTATTTACTTTGGTCTTCCTTCTGGATAGTGACAGAGATGGAATTGACAACTACAGGAAAATCTGTGCCCGCCTTCTCAAACTACAGATGTTTTTGTGACCAATGTGCAATCCCTTTCTTTTCGTAATGTACTATTTTAGGTCATCAACATCTGCCATTGGTATTATTTTAGTAATTGGTTTCCTGGCCTCCAATCTTACTATCTTATTGTTGCTGCCAGATGCATCGTTCTAAGGCACAGTTTTGAAAATACTTCTTACTTGAAATCCTTCAATGGCTCCTCATTGAATAGAGAAAGAAATGAAATCTCCTTAGCTTGGGATTCAGGGCACTGTCTATTCTGGCCTTGAAATTCTTTTCAGATTTTCTTGCCATTACAGTCCTCTCCATTTTAAACTCTAGCAATAATACCATATTTAAAGTCCTCCATTTTGCCATGTGTTTTTCACACCTCACAGCCTTTGTTCATACTGTTTCCTGTAGCTGGAATTCTCTTCTTTTCCATTCTTTAAAAACAAATGATTAAATATCTGGGAACCAGCTTAAATATTTCTCTATGAAATAAAAACTCTTTTCAGCGATGCTACCTCTGTGCTTTTATAGAACTTTGCATGTATCTTAGTCAACTTTGCATTTTATTAATATTTTACAAGCCAGCTTATCATACTTGTGAACTGCTAGAGATTGAGAATTAAATTGTTCCATCTTGAATCTCTGTGAGGTCTGAACAGAGTCTCTAAAATAATTTAGTTGCCTCTAAAGTGGTCATCTGCTAAATTATCTTCTGAAGATTCTCCTAGATAGATACAATGATTGTAAAAAGAAAAAAATATATATATATGTATATTTTCCTGTTACTTTTGAACTAAAAGGTGAGACTTTATTCAAAATGTTCATATTTAAAATAAGCCCCCACAATCTTTATTAAACGATTTCCTCAGCCATCTTAGCTTACCAAGTTTCCAAATGGCATGACCAATAATCTAGTTTTTATTTATTTGTTTGTTTGTTGTTTTAAAAATCTTTATTTTTTCCAGATCAGGAGCCTAGGTGGCTGCTGCTGGAAGGACACCTCTACATCAAATGCTTGCTAAGGGTCTGAGCAAAGATTCTGTCTGACTACAGGAAAGAGCATGTTCCTGATCAAGAAGAAGTAGGTTCCACTGCACTTCTGCAGGAGTCAAGGAAGAGAAGCCTGGAATTCTGGGTAGGCCTTCCCAGAGCTGCTCAGATGTGTCAGGTACAGAGGGAAACCAGCCTGGTCCGTTACTAGGTGGGGCATGGGAAAGGAAACAACCTGGACAATTAAGTACAGTGTAGGGTTCAAGAAATAAATGAGACTCAATGTCCAAAGTAGGGTAAAGGTTCCATTTCTTAAGTGATTGTTAATTATTTTCCCATTAAAAACGTAAGCATTTCTATGTCAGGACATAAAATAATGTCTATCTATGTGAGCCGAGATTGTCCCAGACAAGGGAAAGCTCTTGATATTGAGCTAAATTATGCACCCTGATTGTGGTAAAATACATGATTACCATTAGATTTTAAGAAATATTGAAAATGGTTTACAGGCTCCTAATATAATCTTTGTAGATTACAATCTTTGTAGGAGACCGCTAGCTAAGATTTGGGGGGATCATTAGAGAGGATCAATCCCAATTTTTCGACTTGAAACATGAGCAAGTTAATAATTCCCTCAGCTTTACTTTCTCATTCTATTTCTTTACTCCCAGAAAAGAAGGTCTTCATTTTAAAATCCTCTGTTCCCTCTTAAGCCACCCATATATTGTATTAATGACTCAGGTCTGCTAATCCACCCTATTCCTTCATGAAATTTAATGCTGCTATCTGCAACTATTTGAAGATAAAGAGGTCGGATCCAAGCTTCACAAAGAGTTTTTTTCAAGGGAGGCTTAAAATACACAGTATGACATAAGAGTCACATGACCCCAGCTGGAGAAAGCACTCAATGGAATGAGACCAGAGTAGCAATTCCTGTCAGTCATGATTTAGGTGTTTTGCAGAATCATCCACCTCCCTTTCTACTCATGAATAATCTGTGCTTAGTGAGCTGACATTTTCTCTTTTTAGTATTTTTATTTGTAAACACAATACATTGCATACTATAAAAAATATAAAACTATAAAAATAGCAATTAAGTCTATTCTTTTACCATCCCTAGACCTTGGTTTTACAGCCAGTCTCAATTCAGTATGTATATCCTTCCACTTCTTTTAGTCTGCATGTAATAAAATATGGATACATGTGTTTTTTTAATCTACATGTTTTTTTTTTCATTTTAAATACAATATAATTCTATTTCACAGACATCATATTAATTATCATGTCAGGGACTTACATTCTCTTCAGAGTCTTATTGTTGAAATGAACTAAAAGTAGAAATATTTTTGTGTATTTTTTCCCCTGGAGATTTGATCCTCTGCTTAATTCTAAATTATAGGTTTATGTTTGTCTGTTCCTTAGCTGCAACCAGAGACTGATTTCATTATTAATATCCACTCTATCATTTTTTACCATGTTCTTCAGTGAAAATTTACCAGCCTTTCAGATAAAGAAAACTATAGGGCATTTGTCTGTTAACAACTTAATATTGTGAAGGACAAAAATAAAGCCTGATAATTTGAAACTTGTGACTCAAATAAAAAATGATGGTTTACTGACTGCCATTTCTGCTTTTATTTTCTGTCTCTCCCGTTACCCCTTTCCATCTTTTCATTTTCACATGTCCCTTACTTCTCCTTCTTGTTTTTGTCTTTCTTTTCTTGTATTTTTCCTCTGTGTTTCTCCCTCAACTTTTTGCCTTTGCTCATTCTTCTGTTCTATCCTTTCTTAATCTCCTCTTTGTCCGTTTACAGAATTGTGATCTATTTAAAAACACATTTGTTGTAAAGGCTTAATTAAATATACTATAGCATATTGACACAATAGAATACTATGTAACCTTTAAAATTTATGGAAATACATTTTTGACAATAGAAAAATGTACCTAATACACTGTTAAATTTTTTAGACAATGTATAAAACAGCATCTATATATAGTAAAATGCCATTTTGAAAAATAATTCTATTTACATAGATGTGGGGTATTATAAGGCAGTTAACAGGGTTTATCTTTGGGTGGTAATACAATTTTATTGCTTTACGTTATTCTTTTTCATTTTTTTTTTGGTATATTTTAAAATTTGCCTTGTTTAGTATATATGGTATGTCAAATGAAATGGTTTTACAAAAGAACTTCAAACATATTTACTGACTATATTAAATGAAATTATTTTGCCTTTTATGAAATTTCAGTAAGATAAATTATACAGTGAAAAACGTATGGTAAAAGGAGAAAATTAAATTGAAATTAAAATTTAAATAAAATATAAAGTGACTTTTCAATCACTTAGAAAGCTGAAGAGAAAAAGTACAAGAAAGAATCCTCCCATGCAGGGGCAAACAGAACCTTTGAGTTAAGGTGCTGCCACAACCAGGAGGAAAATTACTCTGCTTTTGATCTAGGCCCCAACTGGCCCCATGTGGCCTGAGGCCCACCAAGCCCAACAGTCAATGCAGATGGAACTTTGGGGCAGAGCATCTTCTTGAGGACAAACCAAAATAAATTAATATATTTATTATTATTATTATATATATATTTATATTATATATATTTATGTATTTTTTCACATATATTCATATATATATGAAAATAAATTGTTTTTCATTACTTTGTAGTCCTTGATTGTATCCCTTCTCCCAGTTTTCCCCTCTACCCTGATGTTTGTGCCCCTAAAATGAAAACCCTGCCGACTGGCTGAGGGAAACCACACCAGAGTTAAACATGAAGAGGCTGCCATCTTGTGGTCTTCTAGGACATGCCGCCTCTGTTGGCTTGGTTTCCCTGTTACACAACACAGCTGGTTCCTATTAGACTTCTTTCAGACTATAGTCTATAGACCATGAATACAAATCCTATTCATGTGTTAGAGTAGAATTGGGTTTTTATACAGTCATTTTTATGACTTTTTAAAAAGAAGGTCACTTGAGTTAGGGCATGTGGCCCATTTCCGGCAGTTTTGCCATTAACATTATTGTGAATGACCTACTGTCTTCAGTTATGGAGGCCTTCAGAAATTCACAGTGCACCTTACTGTGAATGTTTGCTGCATGCTGAGGACTGTTCCCGGAGGACCAGGGAAAGCACAGCTACACAGAGTGCTCTCTGTGTATTAGCCTCACAGAGAAAATATTATAAAGATCTCTTAGACTTTCATAATGTGCAAAAAGCTTTATCTGGAGACTGTTAACACACACACACACACACACACACAATTCACCTACTCATTTGCTTTTTTAAAGTTCAAGGAAAAGGCCTGGTGGGCTTCAAATTGCCTTGTGTCATTTTGTCTGATGCACAGATGGCCCTTTGGTCACATAATGAACATTGCAATTGTTAAAATGACTTCAAGTCTATTCCAGCGTAGGCTCCTTCGACATAAGAAGCACTATACATAACAACTGTCAACCAGTGCCTGAGAGTTGCAGCTTCTGGAAACAAAAAGCTTTAAAGAATTGAGTTTATCTTTCAATGTATCTCTGTAGCGAACCCATCCTAAGTGAATCCTAATTCAATTCTGGGGAATTTGTGTTCTCACCTCCCCATCATATACATCATACTTAGTTCCCCCTCCAAGTCTCCCTTGATCCCATGTTTTTAAATGTCCACTGATGTCTTGCCTCTTCAATCATCTTTCTCTTCCTTTTATTTTTATTATTTCCTCCAGCAAATTCCCCTGAGTGTGTAAATCAACAAAAACTCCCTCATTCTTCAAAATATAATCAAATCAAAATAATAAAACTAGTTTTTCTCAATGGTATATATTTCTCTTAAGCCACCACTCCTATTCTTCTTTCTTCTTTTCCCTGCAAATCTCTTAAAAGTATAATTGACATTTCTTTCTTTCTGTGACTTTGATGATGCAACTCAGACATGAAAACTCAATTGGATAGATATATTAATATTTTAAATAATCAAAGTAAAAAAGGCCATCCAGGAAACAAATATAGGGTTGAGTGTTAAAAATTAAGAAATGCCTGATTATAAGGGGTGGACAGAGAGAGAGGAGGCAGAAAATGATTGATGGAAAGGAACCAAAAGATGAGAGAATCGAAAGTTCAGTGTCATCGTGCCCCAGCAACAGTAGCGTAAGTAACAGAAAAATAATGCCACTAACAATAATAAATATATTGACTGCTCTCTTTATTGACCACCCATTTTATACTAACCCCTCTTTTTAAGTATTTGTATGTTTTCATTTAATTCTTACAGCAATCGTCAAGATAGATGTCATTTTATTTTTTATTTTTTTTGTACAGTTGAGAAGTCTGAGGCTCAGAGAATTTCTATTATTTCCCAGTTATACAAATTGCAGGGGCAGAGGCAGTATTAAAATTCAGTCCCCTTTGTAATGCTTCACGTGCTCCAAATGACACTTTATACCTATAAACACACATAGATAATATATAAATAAATATTTAAATCTATCTCCTTTTTTCTGTCTCTTGATAAGTACCCAAGAACTCTCAAGATGAAAACTTTATTCTCTCTTTTCTTGCCTCACTTTCTCTTGGTCTTATTGTACTTCTGCAATGTGGCAATCACCAGTTGCACTACTCTTGTTCTCCTTTTTCATTTGTGGTAGAAATCAAGTTTACAAAAGATTACAAATCCTGTAGATAATATCTTACCTTCCCAATTCAACACTGTGTTTCCAAAAATAGCAGTCTTAAAAATCATTCTGATGATAACCTCTTTTTAATCACTTATTTTTGGGAAAAAAAGAGAGAAGCCTATATGTTTTCTAAGGCTTCTGTAATCAACTCCACATACTTAGTGGCTTAGACAGTACAAATTCACTATCTTACAGTTCTGGAGCTCAGAAGTATGAAATGGGTCTCACTTAGGGAAAATCAACATTTCAGTAGGGCCATCTTCCTCTGGAGGCTTTAGGCATTTATATTTTTCTTTAGGTTTTCCCTTACCTTTTTCACTTTCTAGAGGCCATCTGAATTCCTTCCTCATCTTCAAAACTAGCCAAATCAGGCTGAGTCCTCATGTTGCCATTTCTGTTTCTCCCTCTCCAGTCTCCCTCTTCCACTTACAAGGATCCTAATGATTACATTGGGCCCATTGGGATAACCCAGGATAATCTCCCCATCTCAAATTTAGCTGTCGAGCTTAATTCTATTAGTAATACTAAAGGCTCTTTGCCATGTAACCTAACATATTCATATGTTCTGGTGATTAGAATGTAGACATTTTAGGGGACCATAATTCTGCTAACACATTGAGTTAGAGAAGACTCACTAGAATAGTACAGTGAACTCTCATATTCCCTTCACCATCATGACTATTCTCTCCATATATTTATATTTATATCTACACATATTCTATCTACACATATTATATGTAAATATATAAATATATGCATATTATATGTGTAGATGATATACACAGGGTGCCAAAAAATGTATACACATTTTAAGAAAGGGAAAAACTGTATGAAAATTGCAATAATATATACCAAAGGATGAATACAAGTCATATGTATACATTTTTTGGCACCTCCAGTATGTGTGTTATATCTACACATATGTGTATTT